TAACATCTTCATTACAGAAGGAATGGTTAGAAATGCAGAATCTTAGTTCTTATCTGATATTGACTGGATATTGATCTGCATTTTGCTAAATGATTTGAATGGATATTAATTTTTGAGATGATTCCAGTGGGTGGGGGGTGCTAGAATTGAATCTTTCTCCGATTTCAGAAGGTTGATGGTTCAATTTTCAACACTTTCCAGAGCTGATGAGTGACTGCTTTGTAAGCTTCAAATTGGTCAGAGGGGAAGCACTTTGCTAATGATAATTAGAGAAACAGACGATCTCTTTTTCTTCTTTTAGAGAAGGATTTGTGAAATTTTCACCAGCCTATCTCTAACTATTACATGTCTTTCATTTTATCAAATACAAAAATGTGTGAGGTACTAAGTTTGGAAATATGTATATATATATATATATATAATTAGTATATATATACATACATATATGCATATATATACTAACCATTTAAAATATCAGTTTGCTTATCGCTACAATGTGAATAATGTGAATGATGATAATAAAGTAATAATTATATTGGCTGGGTTATTTTGAAAAGTAGGTGGGTGAATATGTATGTGTGTGTGGAGGAGGGGAGTTCTTGAACTCATGGTCCTGGCCCTATCTCTGAGTTTTTTCCCTAAAGACTAGCACTCTGCCATTTGAGCTACAACTACACTTCTGGCATTTAGTTGAAGAGCTTCAAGGAGAGCTTCCTGCCCAGCTGGCTTTGAACTGCCATGGTTAGATCTCAGACTCCTGAGTAGCAAGGATTACAGGCATAAGCCACTGGAACGAGATAACTCCTTAATATTAACCTTGTGATTTTTACCCTTATATTCTATTATAGCAAATAACATTGGCTTTCTAACATATAAAAACAATTAAGCCTGCTTCAATAAGTTGCAATTTAGTAATAGAGGAAATTCCAAGAATTTGTTACAATGTAATGAGTTGGTATCCCAGGGTTTCAAATCTGAAGAGTTGGTGAACTTAAGAGATAGCTGTGTTTGATGATGTGTTTGAACAAAGGAGAAAAAGATTTCCACTAGAACTGAGATGCTTTTTCCTCCATATCTTTTCCATGGGCTGTAGGGAACCAATGAAATCACAACCCTGCCCTCCACTTTAATTTTCCTATGAAGATTTGAGAAATTACACATTCTTTCTGTGACATGGCATGTGTTTCCATTTTCCTTTGAGAAATCAAACGTCTTCACAACGTGAATCTGTTTGGTAATGGATAGGACAGAGAGCATGACCAGTATTTATTTGATAGAAAAGAGAGAAAGACAGAGTCACTAGAATCTAGGTGATCTTCTGAAGAATAGTTTGTAAACTCTCCTAGGTGATAATGGCACCGAGGGGATCCTGATTAGTTTAGTGGTCTTGTTCCTATTCATTGGTTGACTGAAATACCTTTTCCACTAAAATCCTTCCTGAGTGGATTAATTCCTTCCCAACAGCTTAATGACACTGTCTCCAAGACACCTTCTTTATACTGTCATGGTGAGTGGCATATCATCTATGTTCTCCTAACCCTGACAATACATTCCCTCATACTATAATGATATGTTTCTTTATCTTGGCCAGTTACATACCTTGCTTTCTGAAAATAGAGGTTCTCACTTTACTTTGTATTCCTGGTGGCTGCCACATCCTATCAGCTGGTCAAATATTTACATAACGAGAAAGGGAATCACTTTAAGAATTTTGGAGTTATATTACCCAGGTTCTGTCCTAACTACAGAGGTTCTTTGAACAATGCATTTCATGCATTTTCTGCCTTAATTTTAAGTATTACCCAACAAGAAATTGTAATCTTTATTTAACTTCAAGATGTGGAGTCAATAGTTATACACATATTCCATCATTATTTTCACTCTAACTAACTAATAAATTCTACAAAATGGCTTCAGGTTTGTTGGTGCATTTTACCTGATTTTAGATGGTGTGCTTATTTGACTTAGAGGCTTTCTTTGCCTTTCCCCTGCATTCAGCATGATATGACATACTCAGAGATCCTGAGTTAGTTTGGTAATGTTATTCCTCTCCATTGGTTAACTGAAATATCTTTTCATTCTGACATCTTCTGAGTTTTTTTTTTGATTCCTTCCTACCATTTATATGACATCAGATCTGTGTCTTGTTATTCAAGACCCACATGGGCAGTTTCTACAAGAAGCATGAATTTAAGTTGGAATCAAACTTTCTTATTCCAGAATTATCACCTAACTTATTCACAGAATGGAGTTGGAAAAGTGTTGGACCCAATTTGCACGTTTGTCATCTCATTCTATCCTAGCTAGTTGACCAACATTACCTCCTTTATTGATCCTCAAAACAAATCCGAGTCATACAGTTATCATTATTTTGGAGGTAGTTAGTACTAATTCATATCTAGTTGTATAATTCATATGGGAAAGGACTAGAATTCACACCAGCTATAGAACTCACGACCCTGGAAAACAGCATCTGAGGATTTGGGACATAAAGGAAGAAATAAAATAAGGGGAAGTGTGTATTTAGAGAAAATGAGCCTTTTAAATCCAAGAACAGTTTAGGCTGAGGTACTGTGATTAGGAAGCTCTTGCTATCTGGGGAAGTGGTCCAGCTCTCCCTTCACTGGCATCAACTCTGCACCCTGCCTTCCCAGAATTACCTCCATCCTCTCTGTCCACGATCACCTCAATGCTCTTTCCCTCTTGCTACACGAGGGAATATTTTTTGTGCCTCTTGTGTCACCCCAGGACCTTGTCTACCTGCAGCAAAAATTGTAGAAATCACACCTTTTGACTCTATTTATTTGTCCATATTACAGAAGGGTCTTCAAGACATGAGCCGTATCACTACCATCCTCATAGTCTGGCTTGACATAACCCAAGAATTACAGTTTGTTGAGTATTTCCCATGTTTGGGCTATTTCTCACCATGCCTTGGTTGTATCACTCACAGTCCCTGCTACCCTGTAAGCTAAGAATTCTGTTCATTGTCATTTTGCAGCAAGAAAACTGAAACCCAGGTACCTTGAACATTCTGTCATTACAGAGGGAGTTCAGTAAGGAGTGGTATGATTCAGCCCCAGATCTGGGAGAGCACGGGCACTGTTCAAAATACTCCAATACTTTTTTTTTTCAACATCTCTTCCTACCTGTCTCTAGGTAAGGATATACCACGCCAGGCGTATGGCATGAAGGCCTTTTATGTAATTAAGAGGAATAACAATTGGGGAAAAACATACACAGATATTTAGAAATTTCTTTAATGGTGGTCTTTTGTGTTTTATTATCTCTTTTCCAAAGGCTGCAATGTTCTGTGATTTCACTGGGCTGAAAGGATGTCTTCAGGGAAGACTTGATTCTCCCTAGGGTGCTGGATTTTAGGGAAAGAAGACTTGGTTCAAGACTGTATTCTCTGAGTCATTCCCTATGAAAAGCTGTTTCTTTCCCTTTCCAAAACAGCTGCTGCTTCCATTGATGCCCTTGCCCTTCATCTGGGAGGGGCCATTTTCATGTACAAAGTCCTAGTGATTGACTGAGCCCAGACCAAGCCAAACACCTAGGTGAAGCCACCTACCACCTAGTTAGTTCAGATACTGCCTGTATTTATAGTAGAATTGGTGTCTGCTCCTTACCCCTACATTCATGAAGGCCGCGTGAGCAACATTAATGATGTTCTTGCCTTTGGAACCAGAGACCTAGAGGTGAAAGGTTCCCTACCCTATTATAAATTTCCTGAGCCAAACTGTTCTGGGTGGTGTCTTGAGGATTTTTTTCCCATTTAATCTAATTTAGCAAGCTCTCTCTCTCTCTCTCTCTCTCTCTCTTTCTGTGCATTATTTCTTTAAAAATAATTTTCTGAGAGGGAAGGAACACATTATGCTATGCTGACGGTAAGCAAAAAAAAACTGCATTTGACACTCCAGGTAATAGGGATCTATTTTGCCCATCTTTTTCCCCCCTGAATTTCTTCAATTGGAAATCATATTTTTACCGTATTTCATTCCCAAAGGAGGTTTTCATAATTTACATCTCCCGTCCAACTGTACATTTAGCATATAAGGCCTGACACTGTCCTGATTATTGCCTACATGCTGGACTTTACAGAATTCCTACTCTGGATGGATTCTAATTTTATTCTCTTATTATTTGCATTCTGAGAATTGTATTTTGTCTCTGGACAGTCTTCCTGATGGGTACTGGCAGCTGAGATTATAAAACTTGAGTAAAATCCCCCTTCCCATTCTCATTTCTTTTTAAAATTCATTCATTAAAGACTAGTTTCTGCTCCGAGTTCATAGTTCACCTATCTTTAAACATATATATATATATATATGTATGTATGTATGTACATATATATGCATATATTTGGTTGTGGGGCCTGAACTCTGGGTCTGGGCTCTGTCCCTCAGCTCTTCAGCTCAAGGCTAGTGCTCTACCACTTGAGCCATAGCACCATTTTTGTCTTTTTCTGCTTATGTGGTGCTGAGGAATCAAACCCAGGACCACATGCATGCAAGGCAAGCACTCTACCACTGAGCCACTAAACAAGTTTATAAAAGAAAGGAAAAGAAAAAGATTTCACTGTACTCTACATGTACCCAGACTTCTATTACAAAGAACAATCTAAAACAAAGACATGGGGATTGAGAGAGAAGAAGGGAAGCATTTGAGTCAAGGTAGGACAAGAAAAGGAAGAAAGAGAAAAGGAAAAAGATGAGAAAGAGCATTTTTATTACTTAAATCAGTTTGAAACATTAAACATTAAAATTAAAGCAAATCTCAGAAAGGATAGCATGCTGATATAATTCCTCAGATTATTTTGTTAACTCAGTAGTTTTTGGCAGTAGCAGTATTGTTCACTTGTGTGCTTTTCTTTTTCTTTCTTCCTTTTTATTTTATTTTTTTCAGAAAGCATGGATTCTGTTTTAAAGCGTGTTTCACCGGAACCCTTATCTTTCTCCTTCCTTGTTTTTGTTTTTGTTTTTGTTTTTTTGTTGCAGGAGGCTTCAAAGCAAAGGAAAGCCAATGGATTGTGGTCTTAAAAACCCTGCATAGATGATGTCTGTTTTCCATACTCCAAACACGTGGCAGAGCTGTAAGTAAACGCTCCTCACTGAATGATGAATTGGATGGCTGCAGATCGGAGACAAAACAAATAATTGTCTCATTTTCGTGGTGATTTGCTTAACTGGTGGGACCATGCCAGAACGGCTAGCGGAAATGCTCTTGGATCTCTGGACTCCATTAATAATATTATGGATCACTTTCCCCCCTTGCCTTTACATGGCTCCATTGAATCCGTCTCAAGTTTTAATGAGTGGATCTCCTTTGGAACTAAGCCGGCTGAGGGAAGAACAGCGGATTTTGAACCGCTCCAAAAGAGGCTGGGTTTGGAATCAAATGTTCGTCCTGGAAGAGTTTTCTGGACCTGAACCGATTCTTGTTGGCCGGGTAAGTTTCTGATTTTTGTTGTTTTTGTTGTTGTTGTTGTTGTTAAGATCCTAATTGCTAGAACTGTTTGTGGTTGGTGGATCTTTAACATCAGATTCCCAGATTTTGAAACACTTAGCTGTGAATCCTTTTGACCAGATGGTCTGTTACTTAACCTGTTGATTTCTTTAGGAATACCAAGTGTTTTATGGTCCTCTTGGGGAAAGCTCTTCCAACATGCTCTACTACCTCTCAGACAGACAGTTCAACACAATACTTGAGTAGTGCAAAACTTTTTTCTTTTGCCTTTCTGTGAGAGCTCCTAGTGACAACCTTTTTCTCTAGTGCACAGTACTGGGAACAGCACTTGGAAAGGTGTGCAGTTTTGTTAAAGCTTGAATTCCTATCACATCAATCATTCAGATAATATTTTGTTTCTTTTTATTGTAAGATGCTACACTTCCCATTGCAGGCTGGGTTTTTTTCCCTTTTCTTTTTCTTCTTGTTGTGCTTGGTTCGAATCCCTAGGCTGGAGAAAGCAAAGTTTGTGATAAGATTCTGTACAGGGTCTGGTGTTGCAGTGGGATAAGCTTTGTGGTAGATGTTTATTTCATTCATTGCCAGAATTTTAGTTTTCTTTTGTAGGCATGTGTTTGGCTCTGAGTCAGGGGGTATGTGTGTGTAGAGGGGGCTACATGTGTGTTATTGTGGGCAAGTTCTTCCTTTAATTTCGAAGCATACTATCATTGAATGTAAAATTTTAATAATGAAGCTGCCAATGGCTGATTTCGCTAGTAAGTGAGGTTCAAGAATGAATCACACTAGTATCATTCATTCCTCAAATGTAGTAATTTAAAAGAAAAATAACAAGGGGATTAAACATTGATCGTCAAGACTCAAGGTAGCTCCTGGTGTCCCTTGGGATTTTTGATAGCATTGCACTATCTATCTTAATGTTTTGCAAATCCAATTGAAGTTTCTCAATGATCATGCTGACTCCTTTCATGTCATTCTCATTATTGTTGGATGGAGACAGTTTTGAAACAATTATCACGAATCACTATATGCATATTTATCGAGTCCTTTTAATATGCCAAGTACTACACTTGACCCATAGAATCCTATTAACAGAAAAATGACCTCTACTTTGAAAAATGCACACTGAGACCAATGTTGAGGATTAACTATATTGTGAATATTATTGTAAAAATATTTGTCTGGCCCGAATTATCCTTTCATGTATTTATATTTATGGGTCGGCATATATGTCCAAGTATATACACACATGCACATAGAAACATAGAAAAACAGGTCTATCAAACAGGTTTGTAATCTTTTTATAATATATTCAAAATACAAAATCCATTAATTATTATTATTTTGGTATCCTTGATACAAAAAGGTGGCAGAAAGTGACTAGAGACTGTTTATAGTCATAGTAGATCCCAATAATGTGGTTGTTTGTATATTTCACTACAGAAATTTTATTGCAGCTGATTACAAGGTGCTGCTCCTGACTGAGCTTAGGACATTACTTACTGCATAGTAGATATATTGTTTCTAAAGCAGAAGAAGTTCTGAATTCCAATACATACACCTATCCCATTGGTTTCAGATAAGGGCTTGGTCAACAGCTCTATCATTTTTGTTAGTGCAAAAATGGAGGCTTTGATGAACCGATAAACCAAACCTGGACCGCAGGCCTAATACAGGATCTACTTAAGCTGCAAAAACCCTATTGGATATTTCTAAGACCATAATTTTAAACCTCCTACCCAATTATGTACTAGTAGTTAATGGTTCAGAGTTTATAATTTTCACTTGAATTATTGAATATAAAACATAAGGTCCTTAAATTGTTCACTTCTGAATATTTAAAATTTCTTAAACCAGATAAAAAAAACAAGGCTTTTTGTTATCCTAGAAACATATGCATTTATACTTAATGGCTGGGAAACACCTGTCTGCTTCCTCTACTTATCTTGGTGTGCAGGTGTAACACTCTAGACATGTCTTGAATAATGTTAACAAGTGAACAAACTGTGCCCAGGAGAGCATTGCTTTTTCTTATCTGAAAAGAAAAAAAACATAGTAATCAAAGCCACGTTTCTTTTGGACTCTGAATCTGCTGGCTTAAATGAAATAATTGAGATAGAAGCAAAGAGCCAGCCACTGGGCATCCCTGAGTGACTTAGTAAAACTGAATTTGTTCTTACTTCTTGGAGTAGCAGAAATCTTAGGGAACCTTGATTTCGAAATGGTCAGAGTGTCCCTGGGTCTTAGCAACAATCACTCTTCATGAATTACCCCATCTGCTTATTCCTAGATAAGGCCAATTTTCAAACAATTATTAAAGCAGAATAAAACTTATTTTCTGAAGAATCTTTCTGCACGCATTTCCAATCATATACCTTTCCCTTTAAAGAAAATTGCTCCTGAATTATGACAGCTCTGCTTTTGAGGGGGTCTTGGATGTAGCATAGCTAAAAATACATTTCAGGTGACTGCTGCAAATTATGAGTAAGGCTGAGTGCAGGTACGATTATATCAGGGTGCCCACCGGGCGCTCTGCAGTGTTTTATCTCCATGCACACTCTTCTACATCCGACTCTTTAAACCACTCCACCACAGTGCTTCTCCCCAGGAACCAGCTGAGAAGCATTAGTTACTTATGCTCTTTAAAAAGCTCTCCTGTGACTCACCATGGTGGGGGCCTGGGACCTACCTGGCTAGGTTCAAGCTCAAGGTCAGAGCCAGCTTTCAAGTGATTGGCTCATCGGAGGGGCACACACCCTTACATCATCTTTGGTCTCTGTCTCTTTTTACATATTGGAACTGCTGCATGCCGAGGAAGAATCTGAGCATGAGAGATGGGAGCTTGGAATATTGATTGTTTTTTGCCACTTTCTGGTTGGTAAGCTAAGGAACATTACCAAAGCTTTTTGAGAATTACTCAAATAAATAAGATTCACAAGAGTTTGAAGAATAGTAAGCGTTAATGACTATGTAGTGCCTGGTATGTGTAGGCATCATTGCTTTCTTCCTTTGTGTGTGAGCATGTGTGTATGTGTATTGTGTGTGTTTATGTGTGTGTGTATGTTTCTGCATGTGTTTGTAGTAAGAGCGATGGTAAACATGCTGACAGTCTCCTCCCTAGGTGAACTCAAGGAATCCAAAGAGAGGTCCCTTCATTTGTTCAGGTTGAAAAGGATTTAGTGTTCCCAGGGAGGGTACCTGGCATTCAGTCTGGTGGACAAGTGAGATACTCTATTTGGGCAGAAGTCTTCATGCAATGTCATGGAACAGAGAAAGATGAGGCGGTGTTTGCTTGGTCAGAAGTGTCGTGATCCTGTGAATTCCCTCTTGAATCAGAATGCAGGAAAATTTTCCATCCTTACATAAGCCATCCCTATCTATTGTGTCTAAAATACAATTTACCTCCTTATTTAATACTATATATTTTTTCTTCTCCCTGATGATCATTATCTAATAAGACGCTATATTATATTTTGGATTTGTCTCCTAGTAAGAGATAACTTCCACAAAGAGAAGATTTATTATCTCTGTTGTTCTTCACTAAAAATTCACAGATCCTAGAACATCCCTGCATGTAGGAAGTATTCAGTAAATATTTTTCATAAATACATGAGGGAATAATCCACTTAAATCTTGGCGGGATTCATGCTAGTCATATAAACTCAATTACAATGGGTATAAATAGCATTGTATGTAGGGAGAGATAGTGGGACTTCAGAACCTGAATATTTGTCCCTGAGCTTTTTGGCTCAGAACTAGCTCTCTACTACTTTAGCCACAGCTCTGCTTTGGGCCTTGGTATCAAATTGGAAGTTAAGTTTTTCACAGACTTTCCTGTCTAGGCTGGCTTTGAACCATGATCCTCAGATTTCAGCCTCTAGAACAGCTTGGGATTATAGGCATGAGCCACCAGTGTCCAGGAAGATGGCCTCTTTAAAAAAAAAAAAAGTAAAGTGGGCCATGTGTTCACCTCCATGTTCTTTTATTCCAGGCTAGCTATGAGTTTAAACAATTGTTTTTATATATTAACATCCAGGGCTGGGAAGGTGGCTCAGTGGTAGAGTGCTTGCCTTGCATGCATGAGGCCCGGGGTTCAATTCCTCAGCCCCACATAAGCAAAAAAAGCCAGAAGTGGCGCTGTGGCTCAAGTGGTAGCGTGCTAGCCTTGAGCTGAAGAGCTGGGGGACAGCGCCCAGGCCCAGAGTTCAGGCCCCACAACTGGCAAAAAAAAAAAAAAAATCCATCCATCCATCCATCCATTCATTTTATTTTGGTGCCAGTAGTGGGGCTTGAACTCAGGACCTGAATGCTGTCCCTGAACTTTTTCACTCCAGAAAGGTATTCAACCACTTGAACCACACTACCTCCTCTTCTAGCTTTTTGGTGGCTAATTGGTCTCTAGTTACAGGCATGAGCTATCAGCACCTTGCTATATTGACTTCTAAAGATATTTTTAAGGAATAGTGAAAGTGGGATAGAATATTTTTAAAAAACCTACTCTTTTACAAAGAATCAGCAGATCATCTTTGTAGAAACCAGGCTCCTGCCACAGCACAGTATTCTTCCAACTTCTTTCTGAATTTCCACAAGACAGAAGTTACCCAAGCAGACTACGGTCCTGCCTCTAGCTTTCTGTGGAACAAGTCTGCGCAGAGCCTGGTCACGAAACATAAATACCAAGATTTCAGAGTCATCACACATTTCCAGTATTGGCTTTCTCGGGAAATTCTGGCCGAGAACAGAGAGAGTGACCCCTGGGAATCATAACCCAAATAGGCTTATTTGTTCTGGTCTTAGAAAAGGGAGAGAGAGAGACAGACAGAGAGAAATCCATGGTGGGTTTCAATAAATCTTGAAACATTGCCCTCATGTTAAAAGACGTATGCAGTCTTTCTGGTAGACAGTTTGATGTCATCATGAAGGCCTTCTGCTATAAGTAAGAAAGGTGATGGATGGGGGTACACCACCACTATTTATTTAGCATC